TAGAAAATAGCATATTAATATATACAAAAAGTCTGGGGAATGCATACCAAAATGTTCAGTGGTAACTTCTAGATAAGTATTTATTAGTAAACTTTATTTTCAAATCTCTCCACCAATTTCCTAGTCCCACCCCAATCCACTTTCTACTCTTCAGCCAAAATAGTCTTGGAAACACTCAAATCTGACCATGCTACTACCTCACTAAAATTCCTCAGTTATTTCATACGGCTCTTTAACTAGGTCCACAATGTTCAGCCTAGCTTGTGAGCCCCTCCTTGCTCTAAACACCGTCTAATTCTCTAATGCCCCATACACAATCTTGCCACTCAGCATTTTTCCACTTGCCATAAGGCAGAGCTCCCTCACTTTCCCAGACTCCCTCTAGGTGCCTCATAAACTCTTCTCCCTATATAGAACTGTACCTCTTGAACTCTGCTTTACCCAGTATACTCTGAGCCATCCTTCATCCTGCAGCCTTATTTTGGATGTCAGGCTTTTGGGAGGTCATTGCTAATCCCGTCCACCCTGATCATGGGTGCATGAGGTACTATTCCACTCTAATAGCATCCTGTGTGTGTGTGTGTGTGTGTGTGTGTGTGTGTGGCTTTTTTTTTTTTTGAACTTGTAATTTTTTGACCTCATAGTGGTCCTCATGTGCCTTTTCCCACTTGTATTATTCATTCTTGGACCAGAGCATCAGGCACAGTGACTGGCACTTGCTAGGCGTTTAGTGAGTATATGGCTGAATGTCTTCTTTGCATTTAGCCCCATTTGTGTAATTTAAATTACAGTACATGTATGCTATTTTAAAAAGCAGATAAAATGTAAATGGACTGAGATTGGCAAGAACCAGGTTATGAACAGAAGTTTGGAAGAGTCAGGGTATGTTCCTTCCTTGTGGATTGAAAACAATTCTGATAAAAACAAATAGCAGTTTACATCCTATCACATCTTTGGAGGGCCACACCTGAAATTTTTCCCTTGACTCTGTCACAAACAACATTGGGGAGGGGGTCAGTCAGGATTTAAATGCAAATACTTACATCTGCCATTTATACCTCAATGTGATTTAAATTAACCTGATTGATTTTCTCCTATTTCAACAATGAACTAGACGGAACTACCACATGTCAGACATAAGCCTTGGGGATACAAGGACGTGTAAGACATATCCCCTATCCCCAAAGAGCTCACACCTGGGAATTAGAAGGGGGATAACTTAATGTTACGTGAATACAAAGAAGAAAACAAACGTGAAGAGTGTGTGTGTGTGTGTGTGTGTGTGTGTTTCTGTCTGTCCCCTTGGACATTTTCTAGGGATTTGTTCTCTTTGGCCTACAGTCAGTTCATAATGAGGACTGCTTTATTATATAAAGGCAAAGTAGGGCATGCTACTTTATATTCAGAATGTGCTTTGCTAGCTCTTTTGTTAGCTCCTTCTTGTACTCACTACACTATGTATGAAGAGTTCCTTTAATGAGTAAGAGGGCAAGTGAAGTGTTGGGCAACAAGTCACAACTGAAGTCTATAATTAGCCACTACCCCATAACTGATCCATAGCCTATGGCTTACTCGCTCTTTCCAAAACTGTCCCATTTTGAAGTTAGAGTTAAGAGTCAGTGACCGCTCACAGTGCAGTAAATGACACACAAACTTATACAGAGCTATCTTTACTCTGCCTGTTAAACCCAGGGTAGGAAATGTAAAATAACTCTCATCTTAAATGTTCCCACTAGTCCATGGAGAGAGAGAACCAAATAAAATATGCTTGATTTTCCTATTACAGTTTCATTTTAAAACTCTAACAAACCTCAAAACACTGATACTAATAATGCATTAAGAAAGGAACTTTGTTTCAAATAAAAGGAGAGCCTTGGCATGAACCTTGTCTTAACCTGTTACATACATGCTGTGAAAACACTCCCCCTCATCAGGGCTTTGTCCCTACTCCTCATTATTCAGAGAGTGGGTATATTTCCTCTTCAACTTAAAAATTGTCAGAAAAATTACTCTCATTTCCTCCAAAAGAAATAAACACAGGCAAAGGTCAGAGGGACGCATTCCATGGAAGCTGTCCATAGGAGAGCAAAGTGCAAGGCAGACGGCCTGAGCAGGGCTATTAAGCACTGAGGGTCTGGGGCCGTGTCCCCAGCCTCCACATCCCCCCAAAAAAGCAAAGCTCTGGCTGCTGAAGATCCCTTCCCACAGCCCTAAGGAAACACTCTGACCTGGTGTGTGCATGTCTATGCTGTATTAGGGTATGTGTGAATAAATGTATAGTCACCTCTGCGGGAATTCTTTTCATGGTCAAAGGCAAATTGTCTCCTATGCACCTTGTTTCTGAGTTAGTAGGCCCCTCCAAAAGGGAAGGAGCATCCTATATACTTTCTATATTGTTTCTCAGTTTCTTTCACTGCTATCCCATTGTCTCATTCCATTACCCTTGCTCAGCCCGCATCTCTCTTAATTCTTGCCTTGTGAGCAGATTTGCATCTGGACAGCTTATCATCCAGAAAGAGTTGTGTCTCTCTTTTGTAGTCGATGTTCCCATTCTAGTTACCAGCGTGGGACCAAAGTAATGTACAAAGCCATTTTAAAAGTGTTTTGTTTTGATAGTCTTCTTGATATCAGCATGTTTTGTACAAAAGGCACTTATAGCTCTTCTTAATTTCTTTCACTGCTATCCCATTGTCTCATTCCATTACCTCATTCCATTATCCCATTCTCTGCATTCAATTTCTGGACAGCTTATCATCCATAAAGAGTTCTCTACCCTGTACAAGACATAACTTAGTGGACATCTGCAGAGTAGGAATATTAGTATTCCACAACATGTTCCACATGTTTAGGATATACATTGAGCTGCTTTTAAGGGCAATATTTCTTCAGGTAAGAAACTCTGCCAAGCCTTGTTACTCTTAACAAGTGATCATATGAAATGTCTTCCTGTGGACTCAACTACCTTCTCCTATCTTAAATCTCTCATTGCTGTTTAAGTTACCAAGGTCCTTTACTATAGATTACTACTATTTTTCTTTATATGAACTCATTAAAAGAGCCAGTAGTTGTTTCTAGAAAATCTCAACTATACCATTTCTCCAGCGATGATCAGACACGGCACATGCTCATATCGAAGATGATGCTACTGGCCCACAAATATTCTTCAAGTTTTTTTTTGTTGTTTTTTACAGGCATGCTAGTGGACTCTCACTAACCCATCTAAGAAGGGTTTCCTTCAGGCATTTTATTGAATATGTAATTATGTGTATCTAACAATGAATTAATCTATACCAAAAATACAAAAAAAAATTAGCTGGGCATGGTGATGGGCACCTGCAATCCCAGCTACTAGAGAGGCTGAGACAGGAGAATTGCTTGAATCAAGGAGGCAGAAGTTATATTGGGCCAAGATTGCATCACTGCACTCCATCCTGGGCAACAAAAGCGAAACTCCATCTAAAAAAAGAAAAAAAAGAAATTACCTATTAGGTACAATATATATTATTTGAGTGATGGTTATACTAAAAGTCCAAATTTTATCACTATTCAATATACCCATGTAACAAAAATGCACATGTAGCCCTAAACCTACAGAAATAAAATTTTTTTAAAAACCAAATTGCAATGTTACAATACATATAGTATGTATTCAAATTCAATCATTTAAAAACCTGTCTGAAGCAAATTAATTTAAAACATTATCAAAAAATCCCTCTATTAAGATTTGTCACTTTCATTCACTTTATACCTGAAACGTCTTATTCAATGGGAAACAGGCAAATCACTAATAGCAAGCCTACCTGGATGGTACATCGCCAAAGTCTATGTATCTATGCAACAGTCCAGAGTAGATGAGCGTTATTATTGTGCCATTAACAAATGCAAAGCCTAACTTTATCAGGCTTTCATAGCGACTTGCTTTCCTACAGAAAATCCTGTTGTTTACAGAATCTCCTGCCACAAACATTTTTGGGAAGCCCTCAGGATAGTTACACAGGCTTGTGAATCAGTCACATGCTCAGCAGTTCCTGTTCAGTGGGATACACAGTGTAGTAACACATCACTCTGAAATACACTATTTTCTTTTTTTGCCACCAAATCTGGGTATGTTCATGGGAATTTGCAGCACATGTGAACATCTTTCATCATTCTTGCATGGGGTGAAGGGAATTGAAAACCATGATTACTTTAGGAAACTAATTTCACAGATTGGTCACTGTGTGAAAGAAGGATATTGGTTTTGGTAGTTTGCAAGCACACCATTTCTGATCTGAATAAATTTGGAACTCATAATACTGTTCAGAAATTGAATGCATTTTCTCAGTATGAAGAAAATATTTTAGAATGTGGCTGATTTTTCAAAGTATCTGTGGAAATCAATGCTATGCTGTCATTTAGGAGACGGAAAGAATGAGGTTAAATTATCATTTCAATAAAATCTACAGTCCAGATTCCTGGTAGGTGAACTGAAGGTACTTTTAAAATCATATAAAACATTTGAAATTAGAAATCTGGAGTACTTTTAAATGCCGTTATTTATTTTGTTTTAATTGCCAGGTAATTCCTGAGCCAGTACTCTCCCAAAGAGCCTTTGCAATTATGTAAGAATCTCCAAGGCAGTTCTTATGTTTCTCAACTCAAAAGAACCACACAACTGCAATTTAAATTAAAAAAAAAAAAAAAAAGAAGGTCAAAGTTTATCTCAAAATAATTTCCCTTCTCTACACTGGGGTAAGTATGTATAGAAATAATAGGGGAAAACTCATGCACTGAGCATTAAGCTATCAAAACAGGAATGTTTAAAATATCCTGTTAGTGGTTTTAAAATAATTTGTACTCTAAGTCCAATGACTATTTGCCAGGGAGAACCAAAGTTGAGAAATTTCTATTAAAAACATGACTCAGAGAAAAAAATGCAGAGGCCGGTAATGAAGGAAATGATTGGGTATCATTCCCAATTGGTCATTCCTAAGATCACATGTTCTGAGCATCTTTAAAAGGAAGTTATCTGGACTCAAGAGGGTCACAGCACCCTCCCGAAAACTGCAGCTTCCTTCTCACCTTGAAGAATAATCCTAGAAAACTCACAAAATGTGTGATGCTTTTGTAGGTACCTGGAAACTTGTCTCCAGTGAAAACTTTGATGATTATATGAAAGAAGTAGGTAAGGAAAAGCATTGGGGAATGAGTGGATTTATAACATTTTCTTTTGGGGAAAAGAGTTTATAGCTGTGTTTACATCAGTGTCTGGAAGCTCTGGCCAGAAATGAAAATGCTGCTTTCTATAGAAAGGCTCCACACATAGCAAGTGATAATCATTTGTTTCTAGAGAATTTCTGAACCAAAGCTACAACTAATGCTTCCTAAAGGTGTACCAATATTTAAAAAGTGTCTAAATGGAATGTTTATGGTCTTTAAAAACAAGATTTGACTTTAACTGCAAAACTAGAGTATCTTTGGTTTACATAGCTCTCTGCATGTTTTTCTTTCTTTCCCTTTTGCATATAAAATAAGCAATAACTTGGAAAAAAATGATATGCAATGATTTTCATTTGAAACTGAAAGCACTCAGATTCCCTTAATGCAAGGCTCTTTTCCAGTAACTGTATGTTAGCCAATTATTCTCTTGTCTCAATGTCAATCCATTAAAATATGTGGTTGTTTTATGATAGACAGAAATCTTAATTTCAGAAAATGTGTTTCTTAAAGGGCTTAAATACTTCCTTTCACTAGAAACCACATAGGATGCTGTAGAATTATCAGGTAACTTAAAAAGAGAATGTTACATATGTAACATAGTTCTTCTTTGATAGTAGAGGTTTTTAAATTTTTAGATGCTAATAACATTGTCAGCAGGTTGTTGGATGAATGTCTCTCAGATAACTATGGAGGTAAAGCAAAAGAGGCAACTTCTCACTCAGGCAGCTTCCACTTTGAAAGTCTTTCTCCCTCAACCCCATGCAGGATAGTCCATGAAAGTCAGAAATGGGGTTACAAACTGGGGAGGAATTTTCTGCAATCTCTTTCTTAGGGTTTAGAAGGTAACAGTACTGTACAGGTGTGTTAAGTGTTTTGAATATATATATATATATTTTTTTGCTTATCTGTAAATTTTTTTTTGTTTTTAGATGATACAAAAATTAGTGACTTTAGCATGAGAGATACCTAAGTTTCTAGAATAAATTAAAGTGATTCAATAAACTAATTAATATCCACCGATACAGAAATGCCAGGATTTGGGGCCATTTAACTATTTATTTTTAGAAAAATTTTTATGCTTTTAATATTTATATTTTCTAATAATATTGTATTTTTAAATTATAGACAACTGATGATAATTAAGGTCAATAAAATACCTCCTGCATGAGATCAGCTGCTCTAATTGAGGATGAGTGGGCAGGTATTGTCTTCATCACTCAAATAGAAGCAAAATCAAGCAAATGGAGTCTATGATTTTTCCTAAGGTCAGCCATTCCAGCATCATACTCAGTTTTGCCTCCATTCATGAAGCCGGCTCACTTCATAAATTTAATGTTATATTTTGTAACAGAGCCAGGACTTGAAGAAAAACCTGCCGCCATTTTTCAGACAGACAGCTAAGTCGGAGCCTCGGCATTACTTATTTGGCACAATGTATCTTTCAGTTTTTCCCAATTTCTAGCCTTTGGTTGCCTTTAGTCAAAGAAAGAGCTTAGATTTACATGCACATGTTTAAAAATTCCAAACATCTATTACTGTCATAAATTCTGCATGACATACACAGTAGCAGCAAGTTGCTGCTATGTTAGGATGTAAATTATTCATTCCATACCTTGCACAAGAAAATGTATTTTCCTTTTTAAGAAAGAAGATATCATAACTTAGGTGATTGGAAATCAAAGTATTGGTTTCTAACCTATTCTAAACTAAGAAACAATGATTTCTTAAATGTTAAAGTTTTCACAGTTTGATGACTAGTGCCTTTTTAAATATCCCCTATAAATTACTAGTAATGATATCACCATTCTAAAATGTTATAAATGTAGAAAACATTTTTCCTTTTGTAATAGTATGGGTGGCTTTTCTGTTTCCATGAAATTCATCAAAATCTACATTTCATGGTGGAGTAATTTGAGAAAGAAACACAGAAAAGTAGACTTGGCAACAAATGCTATCAAATGTGATTCTTGTACACTGAAAACAGATGAACATTTAACTAAATAACTCTACATTAACCCCCAAAATTCTGTTGAAAATTATTTGTCCCTTCTTAAATGTAATGTTGAATATCTATATAATGGTCAAGTGGCCTCAAGTATTTTCTTAAGAGACAAAAATAATAGTGGCTAACATTTTAAATATATATCTTCCCAAAGACTTAACCTTTATACATATTTTTGTTGAAAATAAACAATGGGTCTCCTGAGAAGTTGCATCCAGACCAGAGAAAGGGAAGTTTAAAGAATAGGGCCTATACCTATTGTTTCTCAGAGGTTGTGCTTTTTTTTTTTTTTTTTTTTTTTTTAAGTATTAGCCTGATTCTATTATCTGCAGAAACTGTTTAAATTAGGCCTTTAAGAAACTCACTAGTGTCTTTTTTCTCTTTTACACATGCACCTGTGTACACACACACATTCTCTGACTTAGAGAAAATGTAAACCTGACATCTTTTCTTTTCCTAACTGCAGGAGTTGGCTTTGCCACCAGGAAAGTGGCTGGCATGGCCAAACCTAACATGATCATCAGTGTGAATGGGGATGTGATTACCATTAAGTCTGAAAGCACCTTTAAAAATACTGAGATTTCCTTCAAACTGGGCCAGGAATTTGACGAAGTCACCGCAGATGACAGGAAAGTCAAGGTGAGAAATAAGGAACTGGCACAGAGTACACGCCTGTTTTCTAAATCGCCACTGCTTAAAAGAAATCTTTATTTTGAGATGAAGTCTTGTTCTGTTGCTCAGGCTGGAGTGCAGTGATGTGATCTCAGCTCACTGCAACCTCCGCCCCCTGGGTTCAAGCAATTCTCCTGCCTCAGCCTCCCTAGCATCTGGGGTTACAGGCACCCACCACCATGCCTGGCTAATTTTTGTGTTTTTGATAAAGATGGAGTTTTGCCATGTTGGCCAGGCTATTCTCAAACTCCTGGCCTCAGGTGATCTGCCCATCTCAGTCTCCCAAAGTGCTGGGATTACAAGTGTGAGCCACTGCACCCAGCCAAGAAATCATTTTATAATAAAAGGAGGAAAACCATTCTATCATAAGCCAAAGATCCCTGAACTCCTACATCTAAACTGTGTTTCCTTAAGTATAGAGTTGGTGAATTTTTCTCCATTTTCACCTCCTGAGTAGCTGGGAATATAGCTGTGTGCCATCATGCCCAGCTAATTTTTTATTTTTTTTGGAGAGACGGAGTCTTACTATGTTGCCCAGACTAGTCTTGAACTCCTGGCCTCAAGCAATCCTCCTGCTGTGGCCTCCCTAAGTGCTAGAATCACAGCTGTGGGCCACCACGCCTGGCCTATCTCCATATTAAAAAAAATTAACATGATTTATTTGAGTCATACAATACATAGAGCATTTCAAGTGAATTAAAGTACTATAACAATGTAAGAGAAAGTTTATAAAAATGGAAGAAAGAGGCCGGGCTCTGTGGCTGATGCTTGTAATCCCAGCACTTGGGAAGGCCGAGTCAGGTAGATCACAAGGTCAGAAGTTCGAGACCAGCCTAGCCAATATGGTGAAACCCCGTCTGTACTAAAAATACAAAAATTAGCCAGGTGTGGTGGTGATCACTTGTAGTCCCAGCTACTCGGGAGACTGAGGCAGGGGAATCCCTTTAACCCTGGAGGCAGAGGTTGCAGTGAGCCGAGATCACACCACTGCACTCTAGCCTGGGTGACAGAGCAAGACTCCAACTCAAAAAAAAAAAAAAAAAGGAAAAAAGGAATAGAAAAATCACCCATACTACTACCATCTCAATGTAAATTTCTTTTTTATATTCCTGCACAGTATTTTTTCCAATTATGTAATTTGTATAACACTCTGGACATAACGTATCTATAGGTGGTAACTTGTTGTTTTTGAGACTCTTTTATTTTCTTGTTGCAATATATTCTTGTCACTTAGAATTACTAATGACCTCAAAATATTCCTTTGAACAAAGGTATTGTATTTTAAATTTTATTTTCTGCTTCCATATGCAAATTATAATTACATTTTCTTATGCCTACAGAGCACCATAACCTTAGATGGAGGTGTCCTGGTACATGTGCAGAAATGGGATGGAAAATCAACCACCATAAAGAGAAAACGAGAGGATGATAAACTGGTGGTGGTGAGTGTCTTCCAGCTACTTAATTCTGGATCTTACTGCTAGGTCATCTCAGGATCACTATTCCACTTAAGGAAACAGATTTTCCTTTCGATTATATAAAACAAAAAGAAGATTTTATTGGAACTATGCTTCCACTCTGGCAATTGCCCTTCGTGCTTTTGAGTTCAGCCCAGGCATGCTGTCTTCTAGGAAGCATTCTCGGCCTGCTTCCAGGCATCCTAAGGCTGTCTCCAGTGGTGCCGCCACTACGTTGTATTACCTATCTTTGCTTATATTTCTCACTCACCGTACAGCTTATAAGGATCCTGGAGGGGGAAACTTGTATTTTCCTGATCTTTGTATCTATCTTATTACAATATGTGGGTACATATATAGAAGTCCAGAAATGAATCTCTTTTGAATGAATACTGCTTTATTCCCAACATTAAGAGATACAATAGATAAATCCATGGTTTAATCCCAGTTATTGATCAATTGTTTTATGTGTCTAGGAATGCATCATGAAAGGCGTCACTTCCACCAGAGTTTACGAGAGAGCATAAGCCAAGGGGCGTTGACCTGGACTGAAGTTTGCATTGAACTCTACAACATTCTGTTGGATATATTGTTCAAAAAGATATTGTTGTTTTCCATGATTTAGCAAGCAACTACTTTTCTCCCAAGCTGATTTTACTCAATATGGTTATGTTGGTTAAATAAATTTTTTTTTTAGATTTAGAAGGTGATGTAATGATGTATTCATTGTGCTGGATAATTTCTTAGTCATAATTGAGTGAAGGAAATAGAAAATTTGCATTATTGCTTTGTTCTGATATAGATGATAAGATCTTTCATAATAATTCAAGATAAAAATGGATAGCTAGAATTTTCCTAGGTAGGAAGTAACAAGTACATACTTGTTATCTGAATGCCATTACTGAATATTAAATCCTTTATTGTAGCTACAGTTAAGTAAGTATATCTCAGAGACCTAAGGTAGTTTTAAATGTAGTGAAGTTGTTCATAGCCAGTTGGCCCAAGTGCTCATGTTTTATACCTGCTCTGTCTTAGAGCATTGCAAGAGAGGAGTATACACAGTAGTTCCCCCTTATCCACAGGAGATACGTTTCAAGATCCGCAGTGGATTTCTGAAAGCACAGATAGTACCGGGTCCTATATATACTATGTTTTTTTCTACACATAAATACCTACAATAAAGTTTAATTTTTAAATTAGGCACTATACTAATAAAACAGAACAGTTATAACAACATACTATAAATAATAAAAATTATGTGATTTCTCTTGCTCTCTCTCTCAAAATATTTTGACTATCTCTCCAGAATTCAGTGCAAATAATTCCATTGTATTCATTTCAGAAAAGTGACGATAGTCTTGTATATGAGTAGATTCAAATTTTATTGTAGTGGTTTCCAAACTTTTATTTTTCTCACCAATGGAACTTTTTATTCAAATAAAACCTCCAAGGAATCTCAGTTTGTAAGACATACAAAAGTGATCATGAGTTTTCCAAGGTACTGTGTGTGTGAATGTGCATGTCTGTGTATGTGTTGTCTGTATGCTTTTTCACCTCTTACAGAAGCTATGAAGCACCTTTCCAGATTACTGAGGTTTCTTATACATAGACTGAAATTTACAAATTACGTGCTTACATTTTATTGTAAGACAAAATATGCCAAAGTGCATGTTTCAGTTGATATAACTCTGTTTGTGATTCTTTCTTTAAAAATAAGCTCAAAGGTTTTCACTTTCTGCATACTTATCCTGTAACACCATGATATGGAAAGGCCAGAAGAGATAGACTATTTCCCTGACCATAAGAATTTTTTTTTTTAATAAAAACATAGAGTTAGACTCTCACTTTGGGCTCACTAGAGGTTTGAGGAACTTAAATAGAAAAGATATATAGACATTTTTTAGGACAATTCTTTGTACACCAATATTTATTAAGCACTAATGATGGTGCCAGTCACTTTGCAAGCTTTAAATCATTTGTCATCAAAATAATCTGATGTGAGGATTTGGATTTCTGTTTACAGATAAAGAAATTGAGGCACAGTTTAACATCATAAAACTGAGTAAGAAATAGATATAATAATCTGAAATTCAAAAGAGTTATCATGTCTGGAAGCCATAAATGTCCAAGTGATAACTTGATTCAGAAAATGTGATAAAGTCAATTATGAGAAAATTCTGGAAGATAGAGTAGGATGAGCAGGAATATGTCTTCCTACCTAGACAACAAATGCACTGGCAGAATCTGTCTAATGTATCTATTTTGAAACTCTGAAATCTATTGAACCCTTGCAATATTCAGGGAAGTCTTCGATGATAAGTTGCATTTAATTTTGGTTGATTTCAGCTCTTAACCCAGTTACAGATACTCATACCCACCTACAATGCCCACAAAGGCAGCTGTGCACATGTTTCTGGAGCAGCTTGCAGTCATCTTGCAGGAACTAAGATGGACAATAAGAACCATGTTTTCCAAATGTTATGGATCTGTGTTTTGATTAATGATTGCTGCTTCTGATCACAGAACTGCAGACACATTGGCCAGCAGTCATTGTTGCACGCACGCACACGCACACACACACACACGCACACACACACACACAACACCCCTTATTGTGGTAAGTCATTTCTTTTTGGGCTGGAGCAGCTTTCAGTGTATTTAAAAAGTCAGCTCCTCCTCTACTTTCCACATCATATTTTTCTTTTTTCCTTTTAGAATCCAGACATTAAAGATTAGGACATTCAAAGCAACCACATACATAAGGAAAATTAAAAAGTCAGTATGCCTATGTAGGGAAGTCACAGGCTCAGAAAGAACCTGAGAAGACCTTAAGTTTATTCCTAAAGCTGACTATGAAGATAGATATGGAATACTATGCAGCCATAAAAAAGAATGAGTTAATGTCCTTTGCAGGGACATGGATGAAGCTGGAAGCTATCACACTCAGCAAACTAACACAGGAACAGAACACCAAACCCCACACGTTCTTACTCACAAGGGGGAGTTGAACAATGAGCACACATGGACATAGGGAGGGCAACATCAAACACTGGGGCCTGTCAGGAGTGGGGGCAAGGGGAGGGAGAGCATCAGAACAAATACCTAATGCACACAGGGCTTAAAACCTAGATGATGGTTTGATAGGTGCAGAAAACCACCATGGCACAGGTATACCTACGTAACAAGCTTTCACATTCTGCACATGTATCCCAGAACTTAAAGTAAATTAATAATAATAATAAAAAAGAACAGTCCCACTACAGGTGAATTTTCAATGTGGTCAACTGCTTCCATATGCTCCTAAATAATGAGCACTTCAAATAAATAACCTTCACCAAAAAACGAGAAAGAAATTGCTGTTTTTATGTATACTTACTAAGCAGTAAATAATAGTTACGAGATGGACTTATTCTGTAAGTAGTAAAAATAAACTGGAAGTTATCATGTTAAAAAGTTTATTTGCTCAGAATTTATTTGGTATGATTGTTTTAAGTAAAATTTTTGTTTTAAGCAAAGTGATGCAGGAGTAAAAACAATGTAAAATTTTTCCCAAAGCCCCCATATATTAAAAATAATTGGAAAAAGTGATGTTCTTAAAATATATCATTTATGTTAAGTAAGTAGTCTTTTGAAATTATAACATTACTTTCTCCAGTGTAGAAAATGCTAGCAAATCAAGGACTATTTCAATGATTGAATATTACATTTGGACTATTTATTAACCAAAGTGAATTTCAAAATAATTGTTTTCCATATTGGGTAATATAATATCACCTTAAAAAGAAAAATTTTAAATACTGAATTACTTTTCAGATTCCTAGATTAAATGTACACTTTGAAAAGTTATTAAGAATATTACTGCATCTATACAAATAGATGACTGAAATTGAATGATGAACACAGTAAGGAATGTGATACTTAGAGGTGTCACTGCACGTGGAAATAAAAATCTTAAGATGTTTTATCAAATCCAGCTAAAGTACTATATGTGCAGCAATAAATTATCAGGCATATTTCTGAATACTTGTGTAGCTTCCAGTATATGTTTAACTTTACCAGTATCCATCATCAGTGGCGACCATAGCATCTCAAATTTAAAAATTATTAAAAACTACTTGATGTCTTAGAATGTCACAAGAAAGTCAATATAGAAAATGAGTTATTGAAGGAGCATATAAAAATAACATCTTGGAGAAATAAGCCTTGAAACTGTCATAGAATCAAGACATGTATCTATTCAATAACAAATTACGGTATTCTAGTTCCTTTACTAGGATTAAAATTAGGAACAATCTAACTTAAATTTTTTTTTCTACTTGAGGAAATGGTGCTTACTTTTTTTCTTTTATAATCAAACCAAAGTACTAAAGGCTAGTGGTGGTAGCAACAGAAATAAGAGAACTTTCTTAGTTGGGAAGGGAGACTTATACTATGTAATAATGAAACACTGAGAAAGATAAAGAGAGTCTCAGCATCCCTCCACCATCTGATAATGACCAGAATAAAAGGTCTGTCATAGGTTCAGGTCAGGAGAGGATAATGTCCTAAAACCCTGTCTTTAGTCACTATTAGAGAGATAAAGAACACTAATGAGGAGAATTGCCAGTTAAAAAATATACTTTCTTTTTTTGAGACAGAGTCTTGCTCCGTCGCCAAGCACCAGTCTGGAGTGCAGTGGCATGATCTTGGCTCACTGCAACCTCCGCCTCCCAGGTTCAAGCAATTCTCCTGCCTCAGTCTCCTGAGCAGCTAGGACTACAGGCGCACGCCCCCACGCCCAGCTAATTTTTGTATTTTTAGTAGAGACCGGTTTTCAGCATGTTGGCCAGGATGATCTCGATATCTTGACCTGGTGATCCACCTGCCTTGGACTCCCAAAGTGCTGGGATTACAGGCTTGAGTCACCATTCCCAGCCAAAAACATATACTTTCTTTTGTCACTCATCCATAAAACATTTATTGAACACTTATACGATATGCCAGATACTGTCTTAAGGATACAGAAGTGAGTGGGAGATATTTTCTTTTTTTGATATTCCCCTAGAATAGCTCAGGAGACAGCTGGGAAATAGCTATTTGCAGTACTATGAAATAAGTTGTCTAATATACATCTGTTAAGCATATAATTCTATTTTCACACCATGGGGATTACCCGCTCTGAACCAGTCTCACAGAGAAAGAGATGTTTGAGTTGGTTCAGGAAGATGGGTGTATGCTGTCACAAGGCCAACTCTATGTGATCCATGCAACTGGTTGTTGTAAAGGTCCCAATTCATCATTTGGTGAAGCTATTTACAAAGGCATATTAATTACTAAGACTTGTTCTGCAAGTTACAAAAGCACAGAAACAAAGTTAAGAATGGAATTTATTAACATAATATAAATTTTTGAAATAAAGTGGCCCTTAGTTCCTTCAACATTTCTGCTCTGCCATCCTCAGTTCTGGCTCTGTCTTTGAGGAGGTAACACAATGGATGCAGCAGTTGTAAGCATCATGTGAGGTAGGAAAGTGTGTAGAGGCAAAAGAAAGATTGACTCTCCCTTTGGCTCTCTCCTGTGGGTGGGGAATTTTACAGAAGCCAGAATTTTTATTTTAAGTTCTGGGATACATATGCAGAATGTACAGGTTTGTTATATAGGTAAATGTATGCCATGGTAGTTTGCTGCACCTATGAACCCATCACCTAGGTATTAAGCCCCACATGCATTAGCTATTTATCCTGATGTTCTTCCTCCCTACGTAGCCCTGGCCCCCATGGGCCCCAGAGTGTATTGTTTAGCTGAGTTCTAAAATGGACCACAGGAAAATCATTCTATGACAGGAGAATCAAAACAACAAGGAAGGTTATGCTGATGGGAGATCTTTACTACATTACCCAGCTAGCCAACAGGCATAGCAATGTATGCTTGCTATCTTTAAAGCAGAGAGTGCATACACATCTAGAACCAGTTAAGCAAACGCTTAACAACTTGCTCCGTATTTGAACATCACCTCTGAATACACGTTCAACTGCTGAGGCACTTATTTTGAGCTTGGGTCTTAGTTTCCTGAAATCAACTCTAGCATTTTTGCTTACCCTGTTTTACACTATAGATAATTTAATAATTTAATATAGATAATAATTTAATATAGATAATAGATAATATAGATAATTTAATAATCCACCTATAAAGATATCACATTATATGTTTCTTCTTTATATGTTTTCATCAAAAGCAATTCTTTACTCCACTTAAGTTATTGCTTTACAATATCAAAACATCAACCTCTTGTTTATTTTGTCCACAAAGAGATGGTTTGAATAAATATTTTCTAAATTAAAGAAATACTTTGTACAAAGTAGGTAAAAATATAAATATTCTTCTTCTGGTCCCTGACACTAACTTCCCAGGATCTTCAAAACTTAACAGGAGTTCAAAACTGTAGTGTAAATCAGCAGCTACTGAATCTAATTTTTCTTACTAAACTCAGTACCTGCAAAGTCCACTTCCGTTACTGGGGTTGCAGAAGATGGTTTCAGAAGTAATTGTACAGAGATTTAAACTATTTACTGCTTTTGTCTTTCTTTTAGAATGAAGATTCTAAACTTCTTTTTCTACATAAAACTTCCCCAAATTTTTTGTTATAATTTAAAATGATACTTTTTAATGTAGAGATTACTTTGTAAGCCTGAAAGACAAATTTTCTAGGCATTAGCTCCACTTCCTTTGAAGGGCTTAAACAACATACCATTACTGAATGATAATTGTCACCTTTCTTTCCAGTCCTCAATTATCTTTGATTAACAACAATGATAATATATTAATCACATTCTTCACCTCTTTCCAAGCAATTATAGGCATTTCAGTTACATTAACTAATATCAACTCATCAACCCTGTAAGGAAGGGAAGATATTATTTTAATGAAGAGGATGTTTGAGCACCGTGACTTACCCAAACAAAAAACAGCTGAGGTGGACCAAGCAAGGATTTCTTGTCTTAGGTGGGAAAACATCTCAGCCAGGTGTTTATCAATTTGTCAGGATATTTCTTTAGGGTTGACTCAGTATTCATTGTTCAAAAAGCTCATGTCAACTGAAAATTGTTTCAGTTCCACAAGTAATATTTATCAGGTGACTCAGGTGTAAATCTTTATGCTAGAAGCTAAAATCATTGATCAGAATTTAAATTCACGTGATAATTTTCTGTCTCTTAATTTGGAGGTAAATACCATGAATTTCCTACAATTATCTTTTGTGATCCTAGGGTATATTTCTTTTTTTTTCTTTTTTTTTTTTTTGAGACGGAGTCTCGCTCTTGTTACCCAGGCTGGAGTGCAATGGCGCGATCTCGGCTCACCGCAACCTCCGCCTCCTGGGTTCAGGCAATTCTCCTGCCTCAGCCTCCTGAGTAGCTGGGATTACAGATCCTAGGGTATATTTCTATAGCCTAACATAATTTATGCATCTACCTTTGCTTTTTAAAATTACTAGTAATAATTGTCTCTTTTTGGAAGACTAAGCCCACAGACACCTCTGCCCAGTCATAATCCATGTATTTAAATCAATTTATCCTTTTTGAAAATACTTCAACCTAACTTCTCAACAGAATTACACTTCAGCTTGGTCATTTCATTTAATAACATTTTTCCCAGCTTCAAATTTATAGACAGTAATACTACCTACAATTAAATTGATCAATTAAATTTGTTTAAATATTTGCTTTAAGTTATAACTTTAAAACAACAGTAGCAACAAACAAAATTTCTGGTTGGTTAATTTTTAGAGTTCTCATACATGTGAGAGATATTTTACAAATATGATTTTGAAGAATTACAAATTTGGATGGCAGAAACAGGACATTTTTACTCATTGGACATTTCACCTCTAGATATACCTCAGAATTATGAACGCTACCTATCCTTTAATCTCTCATTCAAGTCATACAGTTACACATTAATTATAATGACTTGGGTGTATAATAGCTAAACTGTTCTTTACTAATATAAAAACAGCAATCTTTTTTTATATTTAATTAAGAGAAACCTCCCTTGCAATAAACTGTATATAAAGCCAACGACTTTCTTATCTTTACTTTGTTTTAAATTTACTTAAAATGTTCAATGGATGCTTACAATTATTAATTATGTTTACTCATTCTAGACAATGAAATAGCAATGCCTTATCCCCATAATAAGCCAATGTGCTTATAAATGTAATATTTGTTCCTCTTATGTAGTCAGTATTAACTTTCTCAGAGGGTCATAAGAAACAAGTTTTTCTATCTCTTCATGTATTTATAGACTCACTTGTTTTGAATTAAAATTGGTGTGGGGGGGTATATAAAAAAGTTGAAGCTTATGGCCAGAATAGCATTGGTGTTGATTGGGAGCTGAGTTAGGCATAATTCAAGGAGAAATAACAGCTGAGCAGTTTCTTTGTGCCAGTACCATGCTAAATCCATTCACTTAATCTTTTAAAACATCCACAAGGTAAGTATACAGTTATCCACACTTTACTATGGAGAAATCAGAGTGTTAGGAGAGGTCAATAATATGTCCAAGCTAGCAAGTGGCCAAGTTAGAGCCTGTGTTTTAACCATTTCACTCTTCTTTGTGATGCAAATGTCTAACACTGCTTCTCTGCAGTGAGGTGGCATATCAGTTCCACAATCTGAATGTGAAATGGAGTTTGATATCAAGACAGAGAGGGAGTCAGCTCTTCTGCCCACCAACTGCAGGAGTCAAGATGACAATGGGAAATTCCCAACCAGAACAACAGGGCCAGGCTCTAAGCCAAACTCCTCCCGCACCCACAAGGTGTTGCAACACTCCACAAAGTGAAGTGCAAGCATTTGATCTCTCGAAAGGCACCATACAAATTTACATTTTAGATGAAGTGTAATAGCCTCAGAGAGTGAATTTAGCTTTTTAAAATGTCACATATAATTACATGATATACCTTATGATTGGGAGGATCTAGCTCAACCCAGATATCACAGAGAACATAAAATAAGTTACTGTACATTATCCAAAATTTCAATATAAGTGAAGTAAGCATTCTTTGAAAACTGACTTCCAAATTGATTGTGAACAATGTCTTAATAAGGTCCAAGGCTATCTCTGTCTTATAGGAGTGGATTTTGCAGCCTGGAATGTAGCAGGTTTAGTGAAGCTGACAGTAAGTATTAGTGTTGATGGGAAAACGATGACCATAAGAACGGAAAGTTCTTTCCAGAACACTAAGATCTCCTTCAAGCAGGGGGAAGAATTTGATGAAACCACAGCAGACAACCGGAAAGTAAAGGTCAGAATGAACTCTTCCTGGCGTACAACAATCAGGAGAAAGCTGGAAGGTGGTTAGGCATGGTTTACTCTGATCTGATTTATCACCAAGTCGGTCTGGGCTTGTTCTGCTAATATTCTCACATCTCTAAAGTTAATCCTTTTGCTAATTATTTTGATGGTTAACAACAGGGCTACAAAATTCAAATTGTTTTCATTTCTTTTTTTTGTGTGTGAGACAATTTCTTGCTTTGTCACCAGGCGCCAGGCTGGAGTGCAGTGGCGCAGTCTCGGCTCACTGCAATCTCCATCTCCTGGGTTCAAGCAACTCTCCTGCCTCAGCCTCCCGGGTAGCTGGGATTACAGGCACGTGCCATCATGCCCAGTTAGTTTTTGTATTTTTTAGTAGAGACGGGGTTTCACCATGTTGGCCAGGATGGTCTCTTAACCTCGTGATCTGCCTGCCTCGGCCTCCCAAAGTGCTGGGATTACAGGCATGAGCCACCATGCCCAGCCTTCATTTCATTTTTTAATCTCTTTGTCATGATATGAAAGAGCATGTAGAAAGAAAAAATTAAACACAAATAGCTTATGTATTGTTTGCCTAGGAAAGAGCACTAACTGAATAATCTCTTGAGACTTCTTCTAGTTTGATAGTACTAAATCATGACAACCAAAGAAAGGATTTAAAAAAAAGAATTTCAAAATAGAAATTTAAAAAATGGATATCTGATTTCATGTAGGTTAGAAGGTAGTGAATTGCTACTTCTAACTGATTTCTTCATGCACTTATAGAGCACCATAACATTAGAGAATGGCTCAATGATTCAGGTCCAAAAATGGCTCGGCAAAGAGACAACAATCAAAAGAAAAATTGTGGGTGAAAAAATGGTAGTGGTAAATTTTGAAGTCTCTATATGTTCCTATCTGATACATGCCTTTCAAGTTACTCAATTGTTTTTGCATCCTGAATGAAAGGTTTGACCTGAGGAGAAAGGTGCAGGGCACGTTTAGCCAGTTATCTACCAACTCTAATAGATCTCTCTTTGCCTTTAGGAATGTAAAATGAATAATTTTGTCAGCACCAGAATCTATGAAAAGGTGTGAAGAAAGTTCACAGCAATGAAAACTTGTTCACCAACACGGAACTAGTACTTGAAGAAGATAGCTTCAGGGCCAATGACTTTTAAAAAATGTCTCAATATAAATTTGCTCAATGAACGCATCAAATTAAGTGCAGTTTTGAAGCTATTTGATAATGAGAATTACAAACAGACCACTGAATTGATGAGGCAAGAAGCTACTTGCCTGTGGTGTGATTGTAACAGCACCAAAGTCCCCTCTGTCCTCCGCACACCTGACTTCCACAAGTCCTTGAGTTCTCACTGAAGGACCCACTCCGTTTAGGTTAAGGCATTCTATCAAAGCCATGTGGAAATTCAGGTGACCTCCCAGGCAGCACAGATTCTAAAAAGCAACATTGCTGAGTTTTTATTTTTTCAGAAGTCTGGCCCCACTTAAAGCAGATACATAGATTAAATGATGATGATAGACAGATAGCAGTAGAGACTGGATGTCATACACTATGGATGAGTTGCTATAAAAGAGCATTTAAAACAGTAATCTCATTTCTCCATAAATCCATTTAAATTAATCAGGCTGAAGCATCTGTCACAAATGTTTACAACTTAGCTTTTGCGGAATGTCATCTTATTAAATGCCGGTCCTGAATTTCTAAATGCCTAGTAAGAATATAATTGTTAGAGCTACACCAAGTCCCTTAATAGTTTCACCAAAGGCTGTTGCTAGAAGCTGATGCTCTCAGGGCTTAGAGTAAAACAGACTAATGGAGGTAAAATTAAAGGACAAAGCCAAAAAAAAATCACTCAATATTTTATACCTATAGCAGTGGAAAAAAGAGAAAGAAAGTGGCAGGGGGCAGGAGGGAAGATTTTCTAAATAATCATTTTGTGTCTCAAATTGAAACATAGATAATATTTCATCAAATGTAAGTCCTCAGAGTCATGTGTAATATTCACTAGAGTAGAATGGCCACGTAACTTGTCATCCAAACTGGATGAGAAATTAAAGATGAAAAGGGGCACTATTAACAATTACACTTGGAGAGTAGGCATAACCTGGGACTGCTCTAGGCAAACTAGGGGTTACTGGCACCTTAGTAAGGTGATATTGAAGGGTAATAAACTAAAGAACTACAACATGGGGTTGGGACATGAACTGAATCCCTGGCCAAGGAAAGAAGCTAGGGTTGTCACATTAAACCCTGAAGACCTCTGAGCTTTCAGCTGTGGCCAGCAGTGATGGGCTTGGTGCTGGCTATGCAGCTGCTGGATGTGGGCAATGATGGTCATCCCAGCACGACATGTCCTCCTCCTTCCTAAGGACTTGAGTGTGTACAAAATGTAACCATGCATGTGCTCCAGAAGTCAAGATGATGTTCAGCCCCTGAAGTGATGTCTTGCACTAAGGGGAACATGGACCAATGCCTCTTTGATCAGCCTCTACAAGGGAGCTGGAAATGACAACTGCTTTAGTGACATCTCAGAGCGGGGTCAGAGAGTTTTCCACAACTGTAATTTGGAAGAAATTACACTAAAAACACTAAGCACCTACTCACTTAAACTTTGACTTTACACAGGCGTGATTAAGAAAAGAATAATGCTGTTCCTAATTTTTAAGACATTTCTCTTTTCATATATGTCACAGCTCAAAGTACAATGAGGCTGAATGAGAAATAAAATCCCCATGTTGAGTATTTTAGTGGTTGGAGCCAAAGATACAACTCCTGAGGAAATCATTCATTCATTCTTCCAACAAGCTCTTCCTCTGTGATCACTGTGCATATGATGCTGTCTTAGGAACTAGAAAACATTAGAGTTAGCTATGGTGTTCACAAGTTCCCTTTTATATTTTATGTAGCAGAGTCATCTTGAAACATGAATTTATTTATTTATTTATTTATTTATTTATTTAAGATGGGGTTTCACCATGTTGGTCAGGCTGGTCTTGAACTCCCGACCCTCAGGTGACCCACCCGCTTTGGCCTCCAAAGTGCTTGGATTACAGGCGTGAGCCACCACGCCCGGCCAAATCCTTTTAATTTCCATCAAATCATGTGAAAATTTTATCTTAAAAATATATTAAAAGGTATACTTAGAGTCGTTGATTTTTATTAAGAACTTTCACATAATCAGTCCCTTGATACATCTGACTTGTCTTCAAAAATTATCACCTATTTCTAAGTAACTGATAACACGATATTTGTTATGTTGTATTAGTTTTATTATAGAAGAAAGATAATGGAGGGACTTTTCATTATAGTGAATTAATCAATATAAAGCCATTATTTGTTCACTTTCTAAGCAGCTTTAAAATAAAATAAGAGAGAGAAGTTTTTATTCTCACATATAAATATTCAGAATAAAATTTATTTTATATATTTTATTTTATATATTATACATTTATTTTATATATAAAACATATTTTATTCTGAATATTTATATCATTGTATGTAAAATCCACACTGAAGTTTGTGGGAAAGTATTAATTATCCAAAGATCAATCATACTGATGTCATCATTAATATATGAATAACGAATAGTTCACCAGATTTTCTTTGCTAACCAACACTATTAATAAATCACTGAATAATCATTAAAATTAACTAAAAGAAATAATCAATTAAATTAATTAAAAATTTAATTTAATGATTATGCTAATATATACTATAGAAAGAATCATTATTATATTAATTATATTATGTGTATTATATACTAATATAGTAACCATATTTATATATTATACTGTTATTTATTATTAAAATATATTAACATATAATATATATTTATAATAATTCTAAATCATTATAATTTATTATTAAAATTAAAATTAATTTGTTTTAAACATTCTTAGTAGTATTTAATTTTCATACCTTTTGCACAAAAATGCAATAAACACAATGGACATGCTTTCCTTCACTGGCTATAAAAAGACAATGGACTATTTCAAAGATAGTAACCAAAAGTAGATGAAACATTAGGATGAAGTATCAGGACATAATCTAGTCCCAAAACACATGATTTTATTATTTCTATCCTGAACATTTAGGGCAGCAATATAATCTATTCATTTTGGAGTTTGGTATCCAGGCCCTTGTGTCCCTTTTCCAGGAAGGTGGGAATCGACCATCTAACTACCAGCCCCACTGATAGAATGGAACTCACCTGTTGTCCCACAGATGCACGCAGTGAAATGGAATGAGGTTGGAGGACCAGTGAGACCCAGGCTGGAATACTGCCTCTGCCATTGGCAGCTACGTGACCATGTATGAGCTGCCTAATCACTTAAATTTTCTCCTTTGCAAAATGGAGACTTACCTACTTCTCAGGGTTGTGTTGAGGGTAAATGAAACCTTCTAAAAAGGACTGACACAGAAAATCCCTCAGGTCTTCTCATTTTTCCTAGATTCCCTTCTGAGGTTATAAGGAAATTAGAATGCAAAGAGTAGGAACAATGCAATTGTTGAGTATGTGTATTAAAACAGTAAGCAGAAAAAGAGATCAAGAGGGTCTCCGCAGAAGAAAGCTTAGAGCAACTCATTGTGAAAAATGAGCAGGGAATATGGATTCTAGTTTACTTTGTAAAACAGAGTTTGAATATGAGTAGATGCTTACTAAAAATAATACCTTTCAATATGTAAGTTAAAAAACAATTTCCCAAAAGTTATCTTTCTTCATCCTCAAAACAATCAATATTTTATAGATAATAAAACTTCAACGCAAATGAAATCTACGTATTATAGTAAGTGATAAAGCTAAATGAGAACTTACTTCCAAATTCACTATCACATTCTGTCTTCTTAAGTTAAGAAATAATGTCAGAACACAATGTACCACAATTTGAATGCCACTGTGACAGAGATGGTTAATTACCCAGTAGAATCCTGGGGTTACTCTTCCACAGCATAGCATTGTTGCTAGAAAGAGTCTGCCAGCCAGGCACTGCATTGCCCAGTCCCTCCCCTGTCTCCTTGGGGCCTTATGACAATTTTGCATTAGAAACTAAGTAGAAATGACATGTGCCACTTCTGGGTCAAGGAAATCTGTGCCTGCCTGCTTGGAGAAGAGGACTTTGAAACTTGAGAGCATGGTATAGGCAGAGGATTTATGAATCCAAGGCCTCTGAGTCACCTCATGGAGAACAGCTACCTATAGACCAGGAGCCCGTATACTGTACTGGATGTCAAGCAAGAAATAAGCTTCCAAGATAGGCCACTGAAATCCTGGAGTGCATTACAGCAGCTAATATTGCTCTGAATAAGTGTGAAATTTAAGAGATTTCATTTTTACAGTTTATCTCCTGTTATGAACATGTTGTAAGCTGGAATTTTTTTAAAAAATCTAGTTTTCAGTTACTTGAGGAAATAAGGAATGGATTGGCATGAATTTAAAAAAAAACACTGTTTAAACATGAATTTAATTATCTGATTTAACTTTACTTAGTTTGAAATATATATATGTAAAAAGTTCATACGTAAACTATATTTTCAAGCCATCATACCATCTTAATTGTTTAAAAAATTGTAAGACACAATCAAATAAATAAAGTAGAACACAAAGTAGGCTACCTGGATACCACATGATTAGAAAATCACCTGAATTTTTGAGTTTGTATTTTCTCCTGATGAAATTAAGCTAGGCACATATACACACATTTTTCACAATGTTTTGAAGTGAATTATTTTTAAGGGATTCCTTTCTCCCATAGCAATGTGGAGCAAATGGCTGAGTCCTAAATAGTGTCTCCTACAGCTCTTGGTGCTAATACCTGAAGTACAATGTACTTGGATGTCCTGTATCTGGAAAGTGTTAATATTACCTTTTCTCTAAAACAAAATAAAAATGAGTAGAAAAATGGGCTTAATGACTTAAAATATTATCATAACCAGAGAAAAAAAACTCAGATGCATAAATCATGTCTTTTGTTTACTCCCCAGTGAATGAGTAACTCCAATCCTCAGATGTTCTATTAGCAATAATGATGTGAAATCTTAGACTAGCCTTTGGAAAAGAGGCCATGTGTGTTAGATCCTAGCAAAAGAAAACAAACAAACACTGCTAACTGAATTGTTTGGAGGAATTACAAACTACTTCTTTCCTCTCTTTATTGCCATTCAACAAAAAGAAAAACTATTGACTACCTTCGGGGCTTCATAAATGTAATTGTTGCCATAGTAATCAAAAGGCCAAATATCCACTGGTAGCCAAGAAAGTTGCATGAAATGGTTTGCATTAAGAAAGCAATTTTAATCTTGACGTTGTTAAACTTAGAGAAAAACACTTATCTGAAACATGAAAGGGGGTTATCAGCCCTGAAGTGCCATTGTCACCTTACACCAAATAACTGTCTGGGAAAGGTCCCTATTGCTCTAGAGGCTGACTTCTGAACATAAATCAGATCATTAGTCTCATGATGGTGCCTAAGAAATTTCATAAGGTGTCTTCCTAGGTAGTAATAGTCAGTAGGCTCTGAATGGCATTTTCACAGTATCCATCTGCAAACAATAGAAAAATAATAATTGGATATCAGGTGTCTTGATTTTTCATTTAATGTCTGTCTTACTAACTAGAGTATAAGACTCATGAGGGCAGGAAATGTTGCTATTTCACTCATCATATTATCTCTAGCACTATCACAGTTCAAGAAGTATATATTGAATAACTGTCTGAATTTATGCTTGTGAGATAATGTACAATGAATCTTGGAATCATCTTACAGAATACTGAACATGTAAACAATTGACTGCTTTTACCACTGACTAAAGGAAAGACCAAATGAAGGAATGAGTGACAGTTATCTCCCAAGTCTGTTCTTTCTGTGTCTCCAGAGTGTATGAAAAAGAAAAGAAAGAGAAGGCAGGGAGGGAGAGGGGAGAAAGAAGTTTAGAAGAATAAAATTACTGATCATAAGAACTATGGGACTGGGTTTCCTCAGCTCTCGTTGCCAATTATTCTGACTGTAATGAGCAAATTCATCGTATTTTTGTTCTTATAAATAGTGCCAACCTGTTTACTAAATGTATAAAGCCTGGTAATATCAGTTGTCTCACAGTCAGAATCAATGCTAAGGTTAATTTAAAAAACCTGCTAGGAAAAGATATAGCAGTAATTAGAGATTCTTAAGAGCAACACTTACGTTCTAAGTGGATTTACATTTGTTCCCCTTGGTCAAAGACTGGGACTTTGATATAATACAGTAGGCTGGATCTCTTGATTTTTACCTCTCTTGATTTTTAAAATAAGCGTGAGTGTTGCTAGACAATCGTGGTGCTATCAGCATCAGGTGATCTCTGGACAGTGCCTCTGTGGGTGTAGCATGTATGATACATAATAGAAGCAGGGTAAGATCATGGTTCAGAACCCGGGCACTGGCAGCAATGCTGGCTTCAAACCTGTCCTCTCCTTATTCAAATTTTGGAAGCAATTTATCTAATGTCTCCCAAGCTCATTTTTCTCATTGGTAAAATGGATATAATAATAGTTCCTAACTCTTGGAGTTAGTGATATAATTAAATGAGATCACCTGTACTAAGCACGTAGCAAAGTGTCTGGCCCGTAGTGAGCTCTCAATATACATTAGTACTCTTTCTATAAAAAAAATCTTTTTATAAAATTGTAGATTCATTTTAAATGACTTAAATACAAAGTGGTTATAGTTGCAAGGAACCTGCTTGGTTCAGACTTTAAGTATTTTTAGAAGAAAATCTTTGCTGTGATCAAAGAACATCTTATAGTGCTACTTCTTGTTTCATCACATGAATACAATTTCTGTGCTCTGCTGCAATAGACTGACCTCTTTGTCTGCCTACTCTGCCTGGCTGGGATATGTGAACTATGCCAAGCCTTCTTACCTATGAATACTTCCTCACACTGCTCCCTTACATTTCTCTCCCACAACATATTTGAGACTGTTATCATACTACTTACAGATATTTTCCTCTCTTTCTTCCCTTTCAATAAGAATTCTTCATTTTGCAGACTCAGGACTGAGAGTGACCGACACACATTCATTCACGGCAATAATTCATGCAGTCTCTACCAAAGCATGAAGGGCCTAAGCCTTCTTATAAATGTAAGATCGATCAAAAAATTTTTGAAGCTTCAAATAGTAATCTCATTCATTTTAAAAATTTTTCGGAGACAAAAGGAAGTATTATGTGGGGTTTCCTTTTATCCTATTGGGTGGGCAGCTGGTCACTGAAAAGCCATTCATTGCTTAGTCCTGACACTGCCTCTCCCCATTGGGTCTCTCTAAGAGTCACATGCTCTGGGCTTCCTTGAAAAGAATCTTCTGAGGCCTCAGCATCTCATCTGAATCTCCCGAATTCCACTTAGAACTGTGTTGAGCTCTCACCCATCACAATGAGCAACAAATTCCTGGGCACCTGGAAACTTGTCTCTAGTGAGCACTTTGACGATTACATGAAAGCTCTGGGTAAGAAATGCTCTTTGTTGTTCTGCTGAAAAGTCCGTTTTTAAGAAAACTACGTGACGTTTTCATCTAACACCTTTAACAGGAGACTGGGGAAGTTTGAACAGCCTGCAGTACAATCCTCTTTTAGGATTAATCTTTTGTTGTGTCATTCAGATAATTTGCATTTTATTTGCGGTAATTTTTATAGACTTTAACTTAAATGAGAGAGCTACTTAAATGCATGGAACTCCCACTGATTTCAAGGGCAATTTCATACCAAGAAATGCACTATCTTTGACATGCAAAATTTTGGTTGCAGACCCAAAGAAAAGAATGCTTAAAAGCATGGTCAATCCGTTTTCTGGCTTTTCTGAGAGATAGGTTTATAGCAACTAAAGTGTTCATAAAATAAGGAATTGAATATGTTGCAGATCCTATAAAACCTCAATTTAAAACTTTAATTTTGAGCTAAACTAACAGGTTTTTCTCTCTACCTTGAGGTTGTCCTTTATTACACAATCATGTAGATACAGGGAGTTTGAAAAACAAAAATACTTCCTAAAATATTATGTTCATAGCCTAGGGAAGTTACCGAGAGAAAAAGAACTGGAGGTGTGGCAGTGAAGTCAAACTCAATTTCACTAACATCAGATGTTCCTGGAGTTGGAGGAGTGAATGGAGATGAAAATCCTAATTATTAGTTACAACAACTTTATTTTATATGATTTCTAGAGTATGTCCCATCAATATAACACAATAGATGTGAAGAGTTTTGAGGAATCTTCAGAACTATATAAATATAACAAAGAGTGATGCTAGTGACCTAAGGTTGCTGTACTTGTCAAAGTGTCTACTGCTTTACTTAGCTGTTCAGAAAGCTTGTATAAAATGTTCTATTTTAGGTAAAATGAGCAAAGTAATATCATTATTGCCTGGAACACTATGAGAACTTATGGGCATTAATTCATACAGGGAGATATGTTAGATTTAAAGACTTCACTTTACAGCTGAGGAAGAAGCCAAATAAGAGAAAGTCTCAGTGAAGGATTCTCTGATTTCATTGTTTTCCAATTGTAGTGTGCAAAAGGATATTCTGGGATTTGGTAAATATAAATTCTTAGGCTCTGCCCAGACATTATGATTTAACTTGAAAAACATTGTCCTAAAATAACAAAAGATTAATCAGAATTCGAAGAAAGAATATAGAGTATAGTTTATTGGCTATAACACTTAACTTCTTATTTAGTATATAAAAGTTTGGGATCTTTTTAACTGGAAAAAGTATGTCCGAGCATTGAGACGTCGTGGGAAACTAGTTTTTCTTTCATATATTTTTTATTTGACATTTTTCCTTTTCCATATATTTTATAATCTTGGTGATAATAGTAATAAACTTAAGAGTTTAATTTTATTTTTGAAATGTAGAAGTTTTGTTTTAAAATTATTTTATTTCTCTATGATCATTTGTAGTAGTATAGATCCCAAAGGTAGAGGGTTAGTTTTTTTCTACCAGCTAGATAAAGAAGCTACAAAATTTCAGAAGTGAGAGTCTATCAAAAATATGAGGGGAATACTTCTCCACATCTATAATATAGTATTGAGAGAAAACATCATGGAACAATATGTATATGCTATAGTTGCATTTTTTAAAATATCTATAGCATTTGAATGTAAAAACTAAAATCTCTATAACAATTTATGCAAATCTATAATTAGTAATTTTCAATGGGGAGTAGGATTGGTTTTAATAAAAATGGATGACATGCATTATTTCAGCTGGAAACTTTTACTCTTGAAAATCTGCAGACATTACTTCTGTAACAACAAAATCTAAAATGTTTGGGTTCTGGGCATGTATTTCCATTGGGAGTGAAACATGGGAGGAGATCCCTAGTAATAAGTGATTCTACCTGCCATCAACACACCTGGGGCACCACCCAGCATGGGATGTGGCCACCACAGTCTCTTCGGGTATGCTGTCTTGGGCAACATAATTCTAACACTATCTTAATTTTCAGGTGTGGGGTTGGCCACCAGAAAACTGGGAAATTTGGCCAAACCCAGTGTGATCATCAGCAAGAAAGGAGATATTATAACTATACGAACTGAAAGTACCTTTAAAAATACAGAGATCTCCTTCAAGCTAGGCCAGGAATTTGAAGAAACCACAGCTGATAATAGAAAGGCCAAGGTAATCTTTAAAGTTTCTCTTCAAAGTTGGCCCAGTGGGCTGCTTGAGAAAGAGGAATATGCCTGCTAGTGTTTAAAATGGTAGACTCTATTCTGATGAAAAGGAGTGTACCTCCTGAGACATCTATTATGAAAATGATTCAGTACTGAATGAACTCCTTCTTTGATCAACAAATCTCAGGCAAGTCAATTGCATGACCTTTTCTTTGCAGAGCACCATAACCCTGGAGAGAGGATCACTGAATCAAGTGCAGAGGTGGGATGGCAAAGAGACAACCATAAAGAGAAAGCTGGTGAATGGGAAAATGGTAGTGGTAAGAGTATTTTCACTTCTAAATACAGAAAAAATGCTGTATAAACAACTTGATTATATTATTTTCAAAGTACTCTTTGTTCTATGGAATACAGATGAGTAAAAATGACTAAGAATCAAGTAAGAGTTAATGTTTAAGTGATATTTAAACTATTACAGGCTCCTCTTCAAGTATTGACCTACGATTTTGAAATTAAAAAACCCATTTGTTATTTTAGAAATACAAATACCTAAAAATTGTAGTAAAATTAAAGAAAGTTTAGGTAAATCTTACTAGTTTGGACTTAGAAGAAAATGAGTCTAAATTTTAAAAGCAAAATATAGTCTGCAAGGTTCATTTGTAGACTATGTGCAGATATCCAACCATTTTGCATTCAGAGGCCATAGAAACTTAGAATAAACCATGTCAATAAAGCAAGCTGAGCTAATTGGAGACTTCTGTTGGCAGATGAGAATAATGACAAAGGTTGCATGGGATGACCTTTGATGATTTTTTTTTTTAGGGTTAAGGCTTTATGTTCACTAATTAACACATACATTGAATGTAAATAGATTCATGTACTTTCAAATGTTTCTTTAGTATGGTAGTTATTCACCCTTGCTACACAACAGGTTTACATGGGGAGTAAATACTAATATGGGGTCACCAAACAGATAATTGAATGTAAACTTCTTGGGGGAGGAGGAGCCATCACTGTGTTTAAACGCTCCGCAAGTAACACAAATATGTAGACAGTTTTGAAAAGCACTGTCTTAGTAGATTTAAATGCAGGTGAATTATACATAAAAACTCGCCACTTACAAAAATTCCTTTACAGTAACAGATCAACTTTTAAATTGTTTCTTCTATTTCAATTCTGAATTAATTCTGAATATTAATAATTCTAAATTACTGGAGACTGACATACTGATATTTTATTATTTCTAAATTAATCTTATGAGTTTATTTTGAATTTCTATTTTTATTACAAATTTTCAGTTCTCTGGTTTGAACTTGAGATGTTCAATTAACCTCTCTCTTTTTTAAGGAATGTAAAATGAAGGGTGTGGTGTGCACCAGAATCTATGAGAAGGTCTGAAAAATTCTTTCCTCACTGAAGTGGTTTTTGATCATTTAATAATGGAAATCAATTACTTCCACTGGCAAAATCTGAATACACTGAAACGTTTGTTTTTGCTTTTGTCTTTATATATCAAATAGGCAAAGGCCTAAACTGAGAATTAATCTAAAATTCAATGTTATTTAAAGATATTTAATGTGCATGCATGTCATTAATACATTAAAGCATATATATTGACCAGATCCGAACAGTTGATGATGTCATTTAATTAACTATAAAATTCTAACCTATGTTGTACTTTGTATACTTGAAATGAAAATAAAAAGGATATTATATGTTAGGACAAGGAAATCAAAGCATTGATCAGCAAACTCAAATGCTGACAGGGGTCAGGAGAGTTATGGGGAAGAAGCATCAGAAATCAGGCGAGCCAGGAAAACGAGCTATTTGGAAGTAAAGAGCTGTAGTCTCCGCTAAAAGGGATAGCCGCTACTCCAGCCAACCTTTTAAAATTAAAGGATATTTTATAGATAGTTAAATGTACATATATTAAGGGTAGAGTTCAGTCACTGTGGCCAATGCATGCACCCACATAACTTACATCCCAATCAAGATACAAAACATTTTCTTAATCCTCGTACATTTCCTTCTGCTTCTTCTCAATCAGTGTCCTCTTCTGTTCCACCCCTACTGAAAGCAAGTAGTGATTTGGTTTCTATCACATAGATTCATTTTGCCTTTTCATATAAAGGGAATTATACATCATGTATTCTTTTTTGTTTGCTTTTTAAAAATTCAGCATAATGTTTTTGAGATTCCTCCATATTGTTGCATGCAGCTGTAGTTTGTTTCTCTTTATTACCAAGTATTATTCCATTGTATGACTATATCACAGTTTTTCCATTCTATTATTAAGATAATGCTATTTCTAATTTTTGGCTGCTATGAATAAAGCTGCTACAAACATTTTTGTACAAGACTTTTTGTAAACTTAGGAGTTCCTTTATTTTGAATAAATAACTAGTCATATAGGCATAGGTGCAGTAATATTTGACAGGCAAGAATGGGGACGATTGCATTGTGCCCAAGTAATAATAAAACTATTTCAGATGTATTATATGATTGAGCAAATGAGAAAACATGCTGATGTTGATGGGAGTCAGGATGTTCACTGTGGAAAAAGGAACATACAAATATGGAATGAGGGAAGGCAAGAAAGAATCATGTGGGAATGGAATAGAAGTAATATAAATTCATAATTTCTAAACCATGTATATGTACGTGTATATGTATTATAATTGCATATAAATGCACTTGATAATAGACATGTATTTATGTGTGTATGTGTGTGTATACACATGCATATATTTTCTAGTTCTATCTGCCAAAAGGACTTAGACACAAAAACACCTCAGCAGAAATGAATATACCTAACACTCAGATCTTCATGTCTAAAATAATTTGCCACTAAAAGGAATCATGGCTACTTGGAGAAGTGACTGATTCCAAAGCAAGGGCAAGGGAGAAAAAAGATGAGCCTGAAATATCTTGTTATGCCAAAAAGTAATGTTCAAAAAAAAAATAGAGGTATATTGCCAAAACATAGAACCAGCTTGAAGGGGCTCCCATTGGCCAACTTGAGCCAATCTGAGAGCAAAATAATTGAAAAAATAATAAATTATAAACCAATGGGAAAAAAACAGAAACCCATGAATCCATACTAATATAATAGATGACAGGTAGATGATAGACAGATAGATAGATAGATAGATAAGATAGAGAGAGAGAGAGAGAGAGAGAGAGAGAGAGAGATAGATAAATGATAAGGTTTCTCCTTTACAATAGAATGTCATGGGCCAGCTGGTCAATGTGAGTGGAAGGAGTTCTGGAATTGGAAAACCATCATTTCTCAACCATCACAGTAAATATGGCTCAGGCAAGAATTATCAATGAATGCTAAAGCTAGCAGGAAATTTTGATTAGAAGCAGGATATTAGGATACTAATCTCGGCTTAAAGTATCGCCTCACAGATTGCTTGTTAGTTTCTGGGGAAAGAATAGTGACTATGCAATGGAAAAAAAAGGACAACCTCTTGACTGGGTTATCAAAATTAACCTCGCCAATAAAGGGTGATGTTCAACATGTGCCTTCAAATGTGACATATTGAGAAGGAAACAACATCACTTATGGAGTATTCTGACTAGAAATCCGTATCTGAATCTAATCATAAGAAAATATCAGGCAAACTCCAAATGAAGAGTGTTTTGTTAAGAAAAAAATACAGGGGCCGGGCACGGTGGCTCAAGCCTGTAATCCCAGCACTTTGGGAGGCCGAGGCGGGTGGATCACGAGGTCAAGAGATCGAGACCATCCTGGTCAACATGGTGAAACCCTGTCTCTACCAAAAAAAATACAAAAAATTAGCTGGGCATGGTGGTGCGTGCCTGTAATCCCAGCTACTCAGGAGGCTGAGGCAGGAGAATTTCCTGAACCCAGGAGGTGGAGGTTGCGGTCAGCCGGGATCGTGCCATTGCACTCCAGCCTGGGTAACATGAGTGAAACTCCGTCGCAAAAAAAAAAAAAAAAAAAAAAAAAGAAAAAAATACAGGGTGTTTTCACTGAATTCTTTAAAAATATCAATGTCATAGAAGACGAAACATTATAGCAATGTTTCAGATTAAATTATACTAAAACATCTGACAACTAAATATAGTAAGTGATACTAGACTCAATCCTGTATTAGAGGTAACACAAATGCACCAAAGAACAACTGACCATATACATTCAATTGCTAAATTGGAATATATATGGTCAATCAGATAAGAAGTATGCTTTGATTAAGTAAAAGAAAATCCCTATTCTTGGAAAATACACAAAGTATTTTGAGGTATGGGCCATACTGTATGCAATCTTCTCTCAAAAATTCAGAAACATATATTTGTGTACATTTGTGTGTATGATAGTACATGCATACATACATAAAGAGAGAAAATAATAAAGAAAATCAGGTAAAATTTAACAATAGAGTAATCTAATATACATACATAAAGAGAGAAAGAGCAATTGATAAAGCAAATGAAGTAAAATTTAACAACAGAGTAATCTGAGTAAAGGGTACATGTGTTTTCTTTGAAATAATCTGATTCTTGCAACTTTTTCTGTAAGTGGGAATTTGTTTCCAAAAATGATGTAAAAAAACCCCAAACTTGGCAACTTCTTCTCTTTTTCAGCATAGAAATGTCTGTGTTAAGTGGTTTTCTGTTTATTGTTGTTATTTGTTGTTATTGCTGTTTTGTCTCCAGGCTCCAACCCATAAGAGTTTAAAAACTGTGTAGCTATTTTTGGACATTTATAATAATACATTGTAAAATGTATTCCTCAATAAATATAATTTCTCTATTATACAAAAATTATGAGTGCTTTTTATTTTTGTAACAGAAAATGTCAAACTACACTGAGGAAGGAAGACAAAATAATCATTTCAGCAAACCGTATAATTGTTAGATTTGGAAAAGATTTTAAAACAACCATAAGAGAGGGGAAACTAAAACCAAACTTGATGTTTTAGTAAATTTGGGCTGCTGTTATAGCAAAACAAAATAAACTGAATAGCTAATAAACAACAGAAATGTGTTTCTCACAGTTCTGGAGTCTGGGAAGTCCAAGATCAAGGTGTGGCAGATTCAGTGTCTACTGAGGACTGGTTTCCTGGTCCATAGATGGCACGTTCTGGCTGCATCCTCACTCGTTAGAAGGGGAAAATGCGATTTCTTTGACTTCTTTTATAAGGATCCTAGTCCCATTCATGAGGGCTCTACTCTCATTACCTAATCACCTTCCTAAAGGTCCTATCTCTTAATACCATCAACTTGGGAGTTAGGATTTCAGCATATAAATTTAGGAGTACACAAACATTCAGACCATAGCACTTGAGTTCTGTAATATTCAAAAATAGAATCAGAATATAATTTTCCTTCTCTAATTCTTTTTGAATATAACACTGTTGTTAAAAACACAGTTAGAGGCAGGACTAGCTTGTAGCTCCTGCTCCGATGGACAGAGCAGTGGATAGACTTTTGCTCCAAAAACTACTATTGGACATACCAGGAAAGCTGAGAGAATCCACAGACCCTTTGAAGGAACTGAATCACCACTGCAGGCTCCCTGAGATGCCAAAACACTGTGAGTCAGCTTGCTTTCTCAATGGTGTGGCTCATGGTCTGGGGCAAGTTTTCAACCCTGGTCACAGACCAATAACCCTGATGAATATTAATGCAAAAATCCTTAACAAAATACTAGGGAGCCAAATCCAACAGCATATCAAAAAGCTAACCCACTATGATCAAGTGGGCTTCATACCAAGAATGCAGGGATAGTTTAACACATGTAAGTCAATAAATGTGACATCTCACATAAAATTAAAAACAAAAATTACCTGATTGTCTTAATAGACCCAGAAAAAGCATTTGACAAAATCCAGCATTCTTTTATGATAAAACCCTCAGTAAATTTGGCATACAAAGGACATACCTTAAGGTAATAAAAGCCATCTGTGAGAAACTCACGGTCAACATTATACTGAATGGGGAAACACTGAAAGCATTCCCCCTGAGAACTGGAGTAAGGTAAAGATCCCTCTTACCACTTCTATTCAACATATTACTGGAAGTCCTAGCTAGATCAATAAGACAAGAGAAGAAATAAAGGGCATCCAAATCGGGAAAGAGGAAGTCAAACTGTCACTATTTGCTGATGATATGATTGTATACTTCGAAAACCCTAAAGACTCATCCAAAATGATCCTAGAACTGTTAAATTAATTCAGCAAAGTTTCAGGATATAAAACTAAAGTACAAAAATCAGTAGCCTTGCTGTACACCAACCACAACCAAGTTGAGAATCAAATCAATAACTCAACCCCTTTAACAATAGCTGCAAAATAAATAAAACACTTGGAAATATACCTAACCAAGGACATGAAAGACCTCCACAAAGAAAACTATAAAATACTGCTGAAAGAAATCATAGATAACACAAACAAATGGAAACACATCCCATGCTCATGGAAGGATATAATCAATATTGTGAAAATGACAATACTGACAAAAGCAATCTACAAATTCAATGCAATTTGCATCAAAATACCACCATCATTCTTCACAGAACTAGAAATAAAATCATAAAATTCATATGGAACCAAAAAAGAGCCCACACAGGGAAAACAAGACTAAGCAAAAAGAACATAACTGGAGACATCACATTACCTGACTTCAAACTATGTTATAAGGCAATAGTCACAAAAACAACATGGTACTGGTATAAAAATAGGCACATAGTAAATGGAACACAATAGAGAACCCAGAAATAAAACCAAATACTTACAGCCAACTGGTTTTCAACAAAGTGAACAAAAACATGAAGTGAAGAAAGGACACCCTATTCAACCAATGGTGCTGAGACAATTGGAAAGTCATATGTAAAAGAATGAAACTGGATCCTCATCTCTCACCTTATGTAAAAATCAACTTAACATGCATAAAAGACTTAAAAATCTAAGACCTGAAACCATAAAGATTCTAGAAGATAACATTGGAAAAACGCTTCTAGACATTTGCTTAGGCAGACTTTATGACCAAGAACTCAAAAGCAAATGCAACAAAAACAAAGATAAATAGATGAGACTTAATGAAACAAAAAAGCCTCTGCACAGAAAAAGAAGTAATCAGCAGAGTTAACAGACAGCTCACAGAGTGGAAGAAAATCTTCACAATCTATACATCTGACAAAAAACTAATGTCCAGAAGCTACAAAGAACTCAAATAAATCAGCAAGAAAAAAACAAACAATCCAATCAAAAAGTGAGCTCAGGACATGAATAGACAATCCAAAAAAGAAGATATACAAATGGTTGACAAGCATATGGAAAAATGTTCAATATCACTAATGATCAGGGAAATCCAAATCAAAACCACAATGTGACCACCTCATTCCTGCAACAACAGCAGCCCTTTAATCCTAGATCTTCCATAATAATGACCATAATCAAAAAAATAAAAAAATAATAGATGTTGGCATGATTGCAGTGAAAAGGGAATACTTTTACATTGTTGGTGGGAATGTAAACTAGTACAACCACTATGGAAAACAGTGTGAAGATTCCTTAAAGAACTAAAAGTAGATCTGCCATTAGATTTAGCGATCCTACTATTATGTTTAAGTTTAACTTACAAGTTTAATATAGGTTAACTTATACCTGGAACCAACCCAAATGCCCATTGATAACAGACTGGACAAGGAATATGTGGCATGTATACACCATGGAATACTACACAGCCACAGAAAAGGATGAGTTCATGTCCTTTGTAGGGACATGGATAAATCTGGAAACCATCATTCTCAGCAAACTGACACAAGAACAGAGAACCAAACACTGCATGTTTTCACTCATAAGTGGGTATTGATCAATGAGAACACATGGACACAGGGAGGGGAACATCACACACTGGGGTCTCTTGGTGGGTGGAGGGTTAGGGAAGGGATAGCAGTGGGTGGGGAGATTGGGGAGGAATA